GGATTAAATAGAGTTGTACCTACTTTTCTTACTTAATATTGATGCTATCATATTAACAACAATGATATACTAATTTATTTATTTATTTATTTATTTTATTCAATTTATATTCCTCCCATCTGGTATATTCTACCACTCTGGGCGGCTGTGATAGGATATTCTATGAATGTCAGAAAATCAGGAGTGCATTCTCGACTAGCTTTTCTGCAGTCCCAAAATGTATGTAGTATAGACCTTTTAGACTTCTGAAATCACGGGTTACACTTTTTTTTTCATTTGCCGATTCATTCTTCAATTTAAACTTTCATTCGCCAAATAACTATTTTTGGCTATATTTTATGTATATTGATAAGGGAGTAGACTCAATTAAAAAGTGAGGGCAATCACAAGGGACACACACTCTCTTTGTCTCCCATTTGTTTTCTCTACTCAACCAGGCAGGTCTTTTCTTTCTTTGTTCTTATAAAAGTGTTGAATAATTTAAAATTATGGACTTATGTGAAATACAGATACAATTAAAAACAAATTTAAATGTTAATTAGACAATTTCTGACCATAAACAGAATACTTCCATAATGTTATCTTGGTCATAATAGCGTTATCGTGGCCATCTTTTTTTTGTACACATGGTGGGGCATAAATTACATACACAAAAGCTGCACTGATTGAAAATTTCCAGTTAAAAAAATGTCCTGTATCCAGATAGCCCCATTTTACCATCCCTGTTTCCCCTTCTCATTTTCTCACGCGCCTACCATTTCTAAAGATACACATACATTACACTTCTCCCATACAGATGAGCTGTGGAGGCATCCTCCCTATTACAATGCACTGGGCTGGAAATGAATTTTAGAAATGTCTGTTCATTTTCTACTGTAAAAATAGAATTGTATTGTATATTTCTTTTTACTGTGTTACAGGTTTAATTACTCACAGGTATCAGAAAGCAGTGAAGATCATAAGCCTTTTGTAGTATAGCTTTAGTTTCATAATGAATGCTTTATGTTTCCTAAGTCACAGATGTTATGTAACTGTGAGCAGACTTGTTTTTGATTCAGTATTATCAGTGTGGGACCTCTGGTTGTCCACATATGTAGGAAGTGTGAACGGTTAATGGAAGACACATAGCCTTTAATAAGCTTTGTTTTGTCATTTATTCTGAAAATAAATGTGTGTATCTCACATATATTTTGAGCAGGAATCGTTTACTTTTCATAAAAGGAACACGTTTTAAAATATCTTCATTTAGATCTTATCAAAATAGCAATAAAAAAAGTTCCTTGGAATTCCAGGATTTATTTATTTATTTTGTTTGTTTGTTTATTTTATACCCCACCTATCCGGGTATCATAGGATTACACTATGTTTTAGAATTTATGATTGCATCTTATTCAGCCCATCAAACCAGAATAGTAATGAATATAAACTAGACTTCAAGAAGGTGTTTTCTTGATTATTCTGAAACCCATGTGTTTCAGTGCATGTTGTTCCCTGTTCACCTGCATACTATAAGGGAAACCAAAGTGCAAATTCTGCAATCTACATAATTAAAGTACTGACAGAAAGGTATCCAACACTACTTGTGATTTTTTAATAGCAATGATTTCCTTCAGAATTCACGTCTTGATTTTGATTGCATCTGTATTCATGCAAGTATGTGTGTAGTGTGGTTGGAACTGATACAGTCATGGAATATATAAATGGCATGTCTTGAATGCAGTGTTTAGCTAATTGTAACATGTTGCATGTGAACAGTCTTTGTAGAGCTCACAAAATTATGATTTTGTCAGAATTTCAGGGTGTTGACTAGAGAAAATTACAAGGAAAACAATTTTGGAGTAACTTCATTGTCTATTTATCACTTTATTAGTTTTGATCTTTATTGGTATCTGGTTTGCATTGGTTCAGGACAACTTAAGTTTAGCCTTTCCCCATAGAAGCTTTTTATATTTCTGCTCTTCTCTATTCCATTTTCCTCCCGTGCCAAGATTACTTTGGAAGGATCAAGATGAAAAACACTTTCTGGGATTTCTTCTTCCTTGCACCTGGATTTTGGACTGGAGACTAGGAGCAGTTTTCTTTCAGATTAGGGGTCTATTTGGCAACATTCCCTCTAATTTTCAGCCCTGCTGGGTGGGGCTCCGGCCCCGCATGCAGATGACTCTGCTCCCCCTACATGTGACTCTGCCCTCCACAGGGTTCTGTCATGACCAGAACCAAAGGGACTGGAAATCATCACTGTGGGTGCATGGAGGAGGCCTGCGCAACGGGGGTGGAGTCATGCACAGCTACTCGGTCATGCCCTGTGTTCTGCTTTTCTACTCATCTTGGTGGTGTTCTGTGTTTGTTATTTTAAAGCACACATTTAAAGAATGTAACCTGCTTTGAAGACCTTTAGAGGTGAAAGGCAGAATAAAAATATATAAAATACGGCCTGTAAATAAATACATGAAAAGTGTTTGCTGTTCTTCAAACAAAATGGAATACCACATTTTGTTTGTATTTAAAATCATTGCATTTGTGCCAACATTACGTTGTGAGAGCACATGCCTTCTCCCTCCTCTGAGGTACCCAAAAATTGGCTTCTGGGGGATTTCAACTACAAAAGGGGTTTTGGGGGCACAGAGGCAGGTAGTGAGAAGAGGGAATTGTTTCTTCCTGGGTTCTACCATTCTGTTATTAGAGGTCTACAGTTGAATTCTTCCCCTCATTCATCCAGATAGATGATTATTCTGATTGTCTGTGAATATAATTTGGTTGAATATCCACTAGGCATGTAGACTTTTGCCTAGCCTTCTTTACATGTACAGTGGTGCCTCGACTTACGAACACTTCTGCTTACGACCATTTCGAGTTACGACCAGCTTTGGCCGCAAAATTTTGCTTCTACTTGCAACCAGAGCTTGCACTTATGAACAGAAAAACGCAGGGGGAAAAGGTGGGAAATTCAAATTTCTAACTGTAGGTGGCAACGAGGCTGCTTCTTTGTAGCTCTTTCGCCCCAGCAGTTAAAGTGTACGTTGGAGGAGGCTTCGGACTGCCTCCTTCTGCTTCTGCTTCTCTCTCTGTGTGTGTGTTTGTGTGTGTGTGTGTGTGTGTGTGCGTGCGGCGTGCGTGCGTGCGTGTGTGTGTGTGCGCAGGGAGGCTTCGGGCTGCCTGGTAAAGGTGCTGTTTTCTGCTTTTTAAAAACTGTTCTGGATGTTTTTGCAGCGTGGTTTTGAGCTGGGAGGGTTATGTTTCTGTGCTATGATGTATCTTGGGGGTTGGTTTGTTTTTTGGTTCCCCCCTTTCCGATGGGTTTTGGGGTTTTTTGTTGCTTTTTGGAGTGTTTTTTTCCCCATTTCTGATGGGTCGGGGGGTTTGGTTGCTTTTTGGGTTTTTTCCCTATTTCCGATGGGTCTTGGGGGTTGGTTTGTTTTTTGGCTTCCCCCATTTCCGATGGGTCTTGGGGGGTTTGGTTGCTTTTTG